AATATTTGATACAAGCAAAAGTATAGACGGCTACTGAGTACTAGCTCAGCCATAGAGACCTCCACCCAAGTGGCATTGAAGGAATTAAGAAGCAGACACCCAGATAGAACAGCAAAGTGGGTCTATCCAGAGTGCCAGCAGCTTTGCAAACTGAGAGCCTCAAAGGCTAACAGCATTCCAGGCAAAGGCCCTGAGTAGACGCTGACCCATGCATTTATTCTCTCTGAACAGGTGATCACCATTAACAAACAGGTGTTCGGTATTTTCTCATAACACAAAACACGCCAGGTAGGCAGCTGGTGCCCGCTTACCACTGATCACAGAAAAACTAAAACGTATTCTCCATAAGGGAGCCATGGGGGCAGGGGCAGGGTCAGCTATCTTAAACAATTGTTTTAACCAGTGTATGATATTTGTTCATTGTTCTGCCACTTTGGAATGCCCCAAGTAGTTTTCTGCTTGTTGTGGGGGAGGGGGAGCAGCTAGGTTTTCCTTGCCATTGGTCTTCCTAGCAAACAGCGTATTCTATCATACACTCAGCATTCATCAATATTCATAAACTTAATATTTCTCAACAGACAACTAATACGTAAGTTAGAAAGCGTTATAATAAACTGAGCTTGCAGGAGCCCATTGTGAATCTGGTGTTGGCTGGATGGTACACTGCTAACAGCCCAGTGCCCACCTTTGTCCTCTTCACCATCTCAGCCACCCAGGTGTATGTTTGATCCTCATTTTTGAGCATAGTCACTTCCTTGCTTTTAAAATTCAAATTTAGGGCTGGCGAGGTGGCTCACACCTGTAATCCCAACAGTTTGAGTGGCTAGGTGGGCAGATGACCTGAGGTCAGGAGCTCAAGACCAGCCGGGCCAACCATGGTGAAACCCCATCTCTACTAAAAACACAAAATTAGCCAGGCATGATGGCAGGCACCTATAATCCCAGCTACTCGGAAGACTAAGGCAGGAGAATCACTTAAACCCACGAGGCAGAGGTTGCAGTGAGCCGAGATCACACCATTGCACTCTAGCCTGGGCAACAAGAGTGAAACTCTGTCTCAAAAATAAATAAAATTCAATTTTATCACATTCACATGTATCCCTAAACAACTTATGGCTTAGTTTGTGAGCTTAAAAAAAAAAGAGTATAATACTCTATATGGTTCTCCAGGATTACTTTTTCATTGAACACTGTATTTCTCCAGGAAAAGTAGAGAATAATGTAGATTTGAAGGCAGGCAAAACTGGGCTAGAATCCAGATTCTAAGTACTCCAGCTGTGTGACTGCATGCAAATTTCCTAACTCCACTGAATCTCAGCTGTATCATATAAATGGGGCTCTCATTTCCCTTACAAGATTAGGAAGAGGATTAAACGAAATGTATGCAGCATGTTCCTATTGCAGAGCAGATTTCAAAAACCTATGAGCTTCATTTTTTTTTTCTTTTACTTTTTTTCTAGCTTAGGGGTGGAGGATCACTAATCCATAGAGAAAAAAATGCTTAAAAAATTATTTTTTTTAGATGGGGTCTCGCTATGTTGCCCTGGCTGGAGTACAGTGGCTATTCACAGGTGCCATCCCACTACTGATTACACGGGAGTTTTGACCTGCTCCCTTACCGACCTGGATCGGTTCACCCCTCCTTAGGCAACCTGGTGGTCCCCCGCTCCCGGGAGGTCACCGTATTGATGCAGAACTTAGTGTGGACACCCGATTGGCACAGTGCACTATAGCCCAGAACTCCTGGGTTCAAGCGATCCTCCCACCTCAGCCTCCGGAGTAGCTGGGACTACAGGCACGCACCACTGTGCCCAGCTAAAAAAAATTATTTCTTTTTAGCTAATATAATCAACTGCTTTTTAGATTAAGAACTGGGAACATTAATTCAATAAGTAAATAAATTACTAAAATATATACTTCAGCTATATATTATGAACTGCTAACAGGAGAAGGGGGAGAGAATAAGAGAACCAGTGGGTGAGGGGAAAAAAAGGAAGGAGAGAAACTGTTAATGGGAGCTCACCAAGAGTGTGTCTGCTTTTTAAAATGTCAATTAACCATTGTTCACAGATCTTCAGCTGCTCAATCTCTACACCTATTAATGTTTGCTTAGATTGGTATCCTCTCAGCAGACCACCAAGGAAGATATTACCCTTTGGGGTGCAGCAACAGTGAACAGGACAACGTCGGGATGAAATCAAGTTGGGGACTTGAAGGAAAGAAAGTTCTACAATCCTGTGCCAGATAAAATTCTCTGTAAGATACGTGTTCTCAAGTTAGCTCTTTCACATGTACTTACTTTGATTGTCTGTAGAGTCCAGGGCCTAACTTTTCTTTCACAGTGATTTTGTAGTTCACCATTTTTTTTTTTTTTTTTTTTTTTTTTTTGAGAGAGAGTCTCTCTCTATCGCTAGGCTGGAGTGTGGTGGTGCGATCTTGGCTCACTGCAGCCTCTGCCTCCCAGGTTCAAACGATTATCCTGCCTCCGCCTCCCGAGTAGCTGGGACTAAGTGCCTGCCACCACACCTGGTTAATTTTTTTATTTTTAGTAAAGACGGGGTTTTACCATGTCGGCCAGGCTGGTCTTGATTTCACCCACCTTGGCCTCCCAAAGTGCTGGGATTACAGGCATGAGCCATGGCACCCAACCTGTATTTCACCTCTTACAGTACAGCCTTCAGTTGCTTCCAAAATAAGGTTTTCAGCAAATAAATATATGAAGAGAAAAGGCAAATGCAATCTAAGATCTGGAGTCAGGAAAGCCAGTGCACTAAATGCAGTGCACTAAATTCATCGAAATGCAGTGCACTAAAATATTTATATGGGTATTTGTGAAATAGTAATGCAGCATCCAACACACACATAAGCACACATTCTGGGGCAGGGCACCTCCAGACCTCTTGAAAGAATTGCATTTGAACCTGGCATGGCTTTCATCACTGGAATGTTCCACTTGCCTCAGAGAACACTGTGGTCTCTTTCAGCCCTGAAAGTGTCAGCTGGTCAACCATCCTTCTTCAGAGCCAACAGAACACATTTGGTGCCCTGGGTCAGCTGCTGCCTTCATCCTCATACCTTGCAGGCAGCAGCTGTCTGCTAGCAGAGAGGACTGGGTCCCTGTTGGGGAGGGGCATGGGTACCTGGCTTCTGGCTGTTGGTCCTCAAAGTCATTCTGAAAGGACTGTGCATCCTCCAAGGCCCCCCTCTGCCCACTGCCTGGCTCTGTGCTTCCCAAAGGGCTTCTGGGAAACACAGCAGGTGCATCCAACACCAAAAAGCTGGGCTAAGAGGACTCAATCAGCAGGGCTTTATATAACCTGGATGAGAAGAGAGCCAAGAAGAGATATGGGCATGATGGAGTCATGGATTCCCAGGGCTTAGAGACTGTGGACCCCTTTAGGACAGGGTCTGGGTGTCTGTCCTGTTCTGTTCCAACCCAGCTTCTAGAACAGTGCCAAGCATACAGTGGGAGCCCAATAAATGCTGGTTCCCTGACTGCCTTGCAGCCTGTGGGGGTGGGCAGCTGAGATGCCCCCATCCAAGGGCAGTGCCCTTTGCTGTGAAAGACGGGCAGAAGCAAGCATGTCAATTTCTTCCATTTCCAAGAACGAAGGATGAGGCAGGCAATAGTAAAGAATAGATGAGACTTGTTAACAATGAGGCAAAACGAATGGTCCATCCTCTCCCAAAAGGTCCACCACAGTTTATCAGCTGAATCAGTGAGCACTGTTACTAAGGGCCAGAAAGTCTGGGCTTTTGTCAGATATTTTCACAAATTCATTGTGTGACACACTAGTCACTTCCTCTCTCTGGCATCAGTTTCCTCTTCAGTGAAACATAGTGGTTGGGCTAGACAAGCTGTAAAAGGCTAACTCTGGTCATGACTGGGTTTGTCGAAGGTCTTCACTGCTCTTCTTCCTAGCAGGAGGGCAGCCCTCCCCTTACCAGAACATGCCTGTTCCAGAACATGCCCCTCTGATTTATGTAACCAGCCATAGCCAAGAGCCCCTCACAGGCCCAGGACGCCTTCCCACAGTCAGCAGTTCCTGGCCTCTGTTATCCTCCCAGGGTGGAGAGAGGCACAGGGATGTTTCTGCCTGAGATCTGGGGAAGCCCAAGAAGTCCAGGTCAGCTGCTAAGCTTTCTGCAACCAGCTTGAGGGCTTACTCCATTTTTGGCTGGATGCTTTTCTGAAACTTGCCTTGCTGTTCCTGTGGGGCCATTTTGCTCTGGACCTATCAACTGGTTGCTGACAAAGGGAACTGGGATCTCTTTCCCCAGCATCCTTTACTTTTTTTTTTTTTAGATGGAGTCTTGCTCTGTCACCAGGCTGGAGTGCAGTGGCATGATCTCAGCTCACTGCAACCTCCATCTCCCGGGTTTAAGCAATTCTCCTGCCTCAGTCTCCCAAGTAGCTGGGATTACAGGTGCCGTGCTACCACACCTGGCTAATTTTATATTTTTTAGTAGAGATGGAGTTTCATCATGTTGGCCATGATGGTCTCGATCTCTTGATCTTGTGATCTGCCCACCTCGGCCTCCCAAAGTGCTGGGATTACAGGATGAGCCACAGCACCCACCCTACCCTTTTAATATTTTCCCCTCTCTCTCCTTCCCGGCTCACTTCCTCAGGTCAGTTTCCTCACCTTCCAAAACTTCTCTCCTTTCCTTTCAACCTCTTCCTGTGTACGTTCCCAACCTCCTGGCCTTGCCCTGACTATTTCTGACTTCCATGGGTCGTCTCTTGAGTTCTGGTCAGCAATGCTGTTCTTTTGGCCTGAAAAGCAGAGCCCACATTTCGATGCCATTGAGTGAGCTTCCCTTGCCCTTTTCACCGGAGCAGCCAGATCATCCATCTCTTTTTCCTCTCCCTTCTCCCTGTGGCTTCTTCTTTGCCCTTCTCTGCCCACATTGTTAGGAATTCTCCTGGCCCCATCTTGCCTGTAGTTGGCAGGTGTCTATTTTGCTAGGGCCACCATAACAAAGTACCACAGACTGGGTGGCTTAAAAGACAGAAGTTTATTTTCTTACAATTTTGGAGGCCAGAGTCTAAGATGGAGGTGTCAGTAGGGCTGGTTTCCTCTGAGGCCCCCCTCCTTGGTTTGTTGATGGCTATTCCCCCTCCCTACTCCTGGGCGTTCATGCGGTCTTTCCTGCGTGTCCTAATCTCCCCTTCTTATAAGGACACCAGTTATATTGCATTGGGCCCCACCCCAGTGAGCTCATTTTAATTGCCTCTCTAGAGACCCCATCTCCAAATACAGTGATATTCCGTGGTACTGAGGGTTGAGACTTCAACATAAGAGCTGTGGGGAGACTCACTCAGCCCCTAACAGCAGGAGTGGTGGCAGTGGTGGCAGAGGGAGCACAGGAATGCTCATCTTCGGCAATTTTTTTTTTATTTTTTAATACAGTCTCACTCCATCACCCAGGCTGGAGTGCAGTGGCGTGATGTCGGCACACTGCAGCCTCGACCTTCTGGGCTCAAGCAGTGCTCCCACCTCAGCCCCTGGAGTAGCTGGGATGCCAGGTGCCTATAAACCATACGCGGCCAATAGTTTGTATTTTTTGTAGAGACTGGGTTTTGCCCTGTTGCCTAGGCTGGTCTCCAACTCCGAACTCAAGCGATTCCCCTGCCTCGGACTCCCAAAGTGCAGGGATTACAGGCGTGAGCCACCATGCCCAGTCACTGGGTGGATTCTTTTGGACTGGACACCTTCCCGTTAGGGAAGCAAGGAGGAGGCAGACCCACTGCAGGCCTGTGGGGATGGTTCAGTAGGACTTTCTGAGATTCTGCCCACTGAGCACCCCACTGGGTGCCCCTCCAGAATCACAGGCACACCAGCTCAAGGAAACCAGATGGGGGTAGCCCTAAAAGAAGCCAAACCTCAGGCAAACCAGAAGTTTAATAAAAATGAGCAAAATTACAACATGGCAGGCCAGCAGTGGGCTGCTTTAGAAGGTCTGATGTGTTGGTCAGCCTGACATCCTGCTCCCACGGTTCTGGAAGGTCACAGGATTGGTTCCTCACACACAACGTTCACTTTCCTCAATCACCCTGTTCCCACTGGGGAAGACTCTGTCTTCCTGGTGTAATTTTTGGCCAGGCTGGTTCTGAACCCCCTCACCCTGTGAGGAAGACTGCCTGGGTCTGACCTTCACCCCATGATGATGATGGTGTCCTTTATATTATTTCCCTAAGTCCATACCCCTACCCCAGGGTCTGAGGATGGCAGGCAGAGGAAAACCCATTTTATGGAGAATTAAGAGCTTTGGGAATACCCGAGCCTCCTTCATAGGAGACAGCCACAGCTCCCAGGGTCTCCGGGCTCGCCTGCAAGCTCTTCTGAATTCTGTGGGTCCGTCTCTCTTGCGAAGTGCTCAGGATGCCCAGGTGCTGACGATGTGCTGGGTCCACAAGTCTGCACAGAAGGGAGCCCCACTGGGCCCAGACCTCCCTGGCAGCCATTGCAGGCCGGGCCAGTTAGGAGGTGCTGCTCCTCCTCCGCGGGTGGAGGGCTTTCCTCCGGGCGATGTCCTCCTCCGTGTCACTCTCACAGTTCCTCTGGAGGAAAAAAATGAGAAAGAGGTCCAGGGCAGGAGGATCATGAGATGCCAGGAATGGGGCTGTGCTGGGCAACCTGAGTTGATTCACCCGGGCCAGGGGCCTGCAAGCCAGGGAGGTGAGTGGTAAAAGCAAGCCTGTTGCTACAGTCGGGTTGGGGGAGGGGAGGGACCTGAAAAACTGCCTCGAGGAAGGACACTCCCAAGAGGAAGGACAGCAGCAGGGCCTCTAAGGGAAACCAGACATCAGGAGAGGCCAAATTATAATAAAGAAAATTACATCTAGTGCCCCTTGTGGCTACCACATAATCAGGGCTACTTGGCTGGGTGGTCTGTGGCTGCTAGGTCTCCTGAGCTCGGCTGGAGAGACTGGAGGATGGGCGTGAGCCACAGGGTCGTCCCCATGCTCTGGCAGCCACCATCCTGTGCCCCTTCTTCTTTGATGGGCTGCACCTTCAGCTGTCTCGCTATGCAGTTTTTCCGGGGAAATGACTTCTGAGCTCCATTTTTATGAAAGAGGAAATGAGTATAAAGTACTGTCTGTCAGCTCCTACATGACAAACCAGAGCTGAGGCAGCCACCCCGAGGCCATCATGCCTTTTCTTCCAAGTCATGATGACTTAATGTAATTATTAAAATTATTAAAAGAAATACTAATCCACAATGACTCCAGTCCTAAAATATCTATTGTCGGATGTTTAATTCCAATACCTCCTAAACAAAAGGACCTATCACACTATTCTTTTTTGGTTTTTTTTTGAGATGGAGTTTCGCTCTTGTTGCCCAGGCTGGAGTGCAGTGGCGGAATCTCGGCTCACCACAACCTTTTCCTTCCGGGTTCAAGTGAGCCTCTTGCCTCAGCCTCCCAAGTAGCTGGGATTACAGGCATGCGCCACCACACCCAGCTAATTTTGTATTTTTAGTAGAGACAGGGTTTCTTCGTGTTGGTCAGGCTGGTTTTGAACTCCCAACCTCAGGTCGTCTGCCCACCTCGGCCTCCCAAAGGGCTAGAACTACAGGCATGAACCACCATGCCCAGCCCTTCTTTTTTTTTTTTTTTTTTAAAGGAAAGTCCCTTTGGGAAAACTGTATAACGGATGTCTGGGACCCAACCCTTTTTCACTTCTAGGATGAAGCTTTCAGCTGATGGTGCTTGCTATTTGAGTAAAAAGATTACTATTTAAGAATATGTGTACAATAACAAAAGTTTGGAAATTGACATTCTTTTTGGCCAGACACAATGGCTCACACCTGTAATCCCAGCACTTTGGGAGGCCAAGGCAGGTAGATCACCTGAGGTCAGGGGTTCAAGACCAGCCTGGCCAACATGCCAAAACCCCATCTCTACTAAAAATATAAAAGTTAGCTGGACATAGTGGTGCAGGCCTGTAATCTCAGCTAGTTGGGAGGCTGAGGCAGGAGAATTGCTTGAACCCAGGAGGTGGAGGTTGCAGTGAGCTGAGATCATGCCACTGCACTCTAGCCTGGGGGACAGAGCGAGACTCTGTCTTAAAAAAAAAAATTGGCATTCTTCTCAATTACTCTGGTCTTCTCCCTACAGATTGCATCTGTCAGGGAAGTAGGGCCAGGGGCTCAGCCTGCAAGGCATGCCCGACATCTGCCACTCAGCCTCCCAGGGTCTTTCCCCTTCCTCCAGCCTAACCTAGCTGGAAATCCAAGGTCAAGAACAACTTTAGCCAAATACATCCTAGACCAAGCCCGCCTATAACAATAAAAATAACTCAAGCTCTGCTGAATGGCAACTTTTTAGCATGAGTCAGAGCCAGACAGTAAAAAAAAAAAGCTGGGTAAAGTCTGCTTGTCATTATCAGGGATTCTCAGAGGGCAAGCAGTCCGATTCCCTTTATAGAAGATGAAGAAAGCGGCCAGAGCAGGCACAGGGCTTGGCCAAAGCCACACAGTTGTTTGGAGCCTCTGGGGCCATAAATCCTCAAGTCCTGGCAAGAGCTCAAGTTGAAAGAGAAGACCCCAGGCTGTCTGGAGGGAGTGTGGACAGCAGGGCTGTGCTGGGTCCAGCCATGTACCGTGAGACTGCCCAGCTCTCTTAGGCAGCCACCTCCCAATGCCTCCCTGAGCAGGCGTCCCCTTCTGTCCTGACCTGTGCCATCCCAGACACTCCTGAGCACCCTATGCTATATTCCATGAGTAGGGGGAGGGTCCTACAAACTGCATTTTAAAGTGTACAGAAGGATTTTATTTTTTTAGTTTTTAAATTTAATTTTCTTTAGAGTTAGGATTGTGCTCTGTTGCCCAGGCTGCAGTGTAGTGTAGTTCACTGTAACCTTGAACTCCTGGGCTGAAGCGATCCTTCCACCTCAGCTCTCTGAGTAGGTGCATGTCGCCGCACCTGGTTTTTTTTTTTTTTTTTTTTTTTTTTTTGGTAGAATCAGGGTCTTACTATGTTGCCCAGGCCGGTCCTTAACTCCTGGCCTCAAGTGATCCTTCCGCCTCAGCCACCCAAGTTGCTGGAATTATAGGCATGAACCACTACTGCTGGCCTGTAGGAGGGTTTTAAACAACAACAATAATTGCTAACACTTATTGAGCACATGCCAAGCTTTAAGAATACATCATTATTTGGGCCGGGCGCGGTGGCTCAAGCCTGTAATCCCAGCACTTTGGGAGGCCGAGGCGGGTGGATCACGAGGTCGAGAGATCGAGACCATCCTGGTCAACATGGTGAAACCCTGTCTCTACTAAAAATACAAAAAATCAGCTGGGCATGGTGGCATATGCCTGTAATCCCAGCTACTCAGGAGGCTGAGGCAGGAGAATTGCCTGAACCCAGGAGGCGGAGGTTGCAGTGAGCCGAGATCGCGCCATTGCACTCCAGCCTGGGTAACAAGAGCGAAACTCCGTCTCAAAAAAAAAAAAAAAAAAAAAAAAAAGAATACATCATTATTTAATCTTTAGGAACTATTAATAGCCCTATTTTACAAATGAAGAAATCTCAGCACAGAGAGGTTAAGTAATTTCCTCAAGGTCACACAGTAAGTGGCAGATTTGAATCCTGGTAGTCTGACTCCAGAGCCCACTCTCTTCACCACTACATTCTATTATAAGCTACGGCTTTTATAAGTGCACAGAATTGCAATAAAGTAATCAAATATAAGATATTGTCTAAATATGATGATGGTAATCTGAAGCAAAGCAGAAATGGAAATATGGAAAAAGAATGTAAAGCTCCCATTCTAAAGCAAATTTTGGGTTGTCAGAAATACACCTTAGGTTGTCTGTGGTCAGCCGGCAGCAGCAGTCCCTCTGAAGGCCCACCAGGAAAGGATGGGAGATCCTCCAGGAGCTCATGCCACCACATTGGTGCTCCCCTCCCGGCACCACCCAGAGGTCCCCAGAACTCATTCCTCTGAAGATCACACTTCAGCCTTCAGAGAAGTGAAGGACAGGGCCAGCAGAACTGGCTGGTAGCAATGAGCACCTGCCTTGCAAGGGGAAAGGGAACTCACCCATCCCTGAACTCCAGGCTACCCCAGAATTCCGCCCAAGAAGAGGGCACACATTTACCCACCAGGTCCTCATTCGGCCTCAGGTGCACCTTCTTCATCAGTGAGCGGGTGAGGTGGTTGCATAAGGACACGATGCTGAAGGAGAGCTGAGGGAGAGGCAAAGGAAAGGAATGGCCAGGTGAGAACATGCACGGACACCCTGGAGAGCCAGAAACCCCACCCAGGGGCCACCCCACACCTGGACACACCTTCCACCGCCTGCGGGCATATTGCTTCTTGAAGTTCTCCAGATTGATCACAGACTCCCTGCGCACCATGGCTTGCTGGTTGTCCACTGGCTGGGAGACAAAGCAGAGCATAGCAGCTGACGCTGGGCTTCAGACAGCAGCCACCCTCCTCAGCACAGAAACCCCAACCACATGCCCACCGCCCTTGGCTTGATCCTGGCATTTCCCCGCTAGGCAGGGCACACAGTGGGACCGTCACAGTAACAGCAACAGCTACAGATGTCTCAGCTGTTCAAGAGATGCCTCTCGGCTATTATCACCACAGCCAGACACACACACACAGCCTTGGTTGGAGGCGCAGCCGCTCCTGAAGGGGAGCAGCAGGAGGGGGCTCCAAGCACACATCACTTTGGGGAGAGGGTCATTTTACAGCAGTCTGGGATGCCCCCTGGGCACCGGGATGATTCTGGGGTTAGCAAAACAAATGCCTTGTTGGTAGACAGGGAATTCACACTCCATTAAAAAATAAACAGAAGGAAATAAGGGCTTCGATGAAAGTCAAGAGACGATAGGATGTTTAGCTGCCTTTCACAGCCTGGCAGTCAAAGCTCAGTTTAAATCTTGACTTCTCCAAGAAGTCTGGCATGGCTTCTCTGAGCCTCAGTTTTCCCATCTGTAGTATTGTGATAATAATGTCACAGCACTGTTAAGAATTAAATCATCATGGGCTGGGCGCGGTGGCTCACGCCTGTAATCCCAGCTCTTTGGGAGGCCAAGGCGGGTGGATCACAAGGTCAAGAGATCGAGACCATCCTGGTCAACGTGGTGAAACCCCGTCTCTACTTAAAATACAAAAAAATTAGCTGGGCATGGTGGCGCGTGCCTATAATCCCAGCTACTCAGGAGGCTGAGGCAGGAGAATTGCCTGAACCCAGGAGGCGGAGGTTGAGGTGAGCCGAGATCGTGCCATTGCACTCCAGCCTGGGTAACAAGAGCGAAACTCCGTCTCAAAAAAAAAAAAAAAAAAAAAAAAAAAGAATTAAATGATCATGCATATATAAAGTGCTTAGCCCAGACCACTCAACACATAGTAACAAGTCATTGTGAGTTCTCCTGCCTTCTCCATTCCCTCTTCAATGTCCTTATTTTGTAAAATAAGATTTTCTGAAATCAAGGGATATGTTTCAGGGGTTCTGTGAACACAATGTGCTATATCCATACAAAGGAATATTAGTCAGAAATGTTATTCATTAAAAAATTTAGTCTTTTTTTTGAGACGGACAGTTTCGCTCTTGTCACCCAGGCTGGAGTGCAGTGGCATGATCTCAGCTCACTACAACCTCTGCCTCCTGGGTTCAAGTGATTCTCTTGCTTCAACCTCCTGAGTAGCTCAGATTACAGGTGCCTGCCACTACGCCTGGCTAATTTGTTGTATTTTTAGTAGAGACAGGGTTTCACCATGTTGGGTAGGCTGGTCTTGAACCCCCGACCTCATGATCTGCCCGCCTCGGCCTCCCAAAGTGCTGGGATTATGGGTGTGAGCCACTTCGACTGGCCTGAGTCCATTTTACAACACAGATGAACCTTAAAAACATGTTAAATGAAAAAAAAAAAACAGACACAAAAGGCTACCTGTTGTATGATTCAATTTATACACACAACCTTGTGAATATACTAAAAACCGCTGAATTGTACATTTTAAAATGGTGAATTTTACAGTATATAAATTAAAACTCAATTTTTAAAATTTAGTTTATATGTACAGACATGCATTTCTTCGGAGGAGAGTCGATAGCTTTCATCGATTCTCAGAGGCCCTGTGACCTCAAGATAATGAACTGCCCAGAATGATTCTGAAGGTCCTCGAAGCCCTGTTTTTCTCCCTGCTCTGACAGCCTTCCTGCCACAATGCCTCATTGGGCAGCTGGTGAATGCTAAGCGAGGGAGCCTGTTGATTCCCAAGCGTGGGTCTTGTCTCCTAACCATGCTCCGGACATGCCTCCACTCTTTATTTTTCATCATGGTGTCAGGCACTGGAAGGAAGCCAGTGCACACTGCCAGCCACACTGCTCTGAAGCTGGCACTCTCTGGCAGGAGATCCATCCCCTGGCAGCCCTTGCTGCTCATCCCCCTGGAAAGCCTTCAGGTATTTCAAAGCCCAATTCAGGCATGACCTCCTCTGAGACAAATTCCAGAAAATAATGTCTCCCTCCCTGACATGACCAAAGCATATGTGTGTTTCTTTATTAAGTCCAGCAACTCTCAGTCAGCCTTGCAGAGGAATCATCCTACTCCTGGAAAATGACTTGAGAGCACAGACTTTCTTCATGTCTATGTCAATGCCCTGCCCCACTCTCCTCCCAACCTGGAACCTACGACACTGGGTGCTTCACAGGTGTATGGTTGTTTCCCTGAGCTGATGGAGAGACAAGTTGAAATGAAATTCCAGGACCTGGGACCTACTCACTCCCACTGCTGAGGGGCTCAGGTCACCTGGTCAGCCCAGCCACACCATCTTGAAAGGGTGTCAGGGCACAAAGGCTCCCCATGGCTTTGCCCAGGAGTCAGCAGGAGGCAGAGCTCCAGGGCCAGGCGATGGGGTGACCCCGAGCTGGAGGGGGAGGGAGTGCATGCAACCTGGAAGTGGATGGGAGATGAAGAAATCGGGGGCTCTTCAGCCTCCGAAACTGAAGCACAGTGGTTTGGGCCAGAGTGCAGAAGGAAAGAGAGAAGGGGAAGGAGAAAGACAGGGAATGGGAAGAGAAGAGAAAAGGATGAGGCTGCTGGAGGCACCACCAGGCCATGTCCGGCCCTCTAGACCCTGTCTTTAACTGCCTGTCACCCGCTCTGTGCACCTGCAAGCCCAGCCCTGGGTCTAGTTCCACCTGGAAGGGAGGCACAAAAGTGGGTGGAGGGCGGCCAATCTGTGCTGAAGACTGACTTTTCCCTTCTCCAAGCCTTCCAGTGGCTTCCCTGAGCTCTCCATACATCCCCATGAGCTCATGGAGACCCCCAAGGCCTGCACGGTCTGCACCCTCCGCCCTGATTTTCTGCCTCTCTCTTTCCTGTCCATTGGGCTCCCATCGCACAGGTCCACTTGCTAGTCTGTGAATCCAAAGTGTCCGGGACTTTGCCCCCGTTTGTTTATATTCACTTCATCACTTTGTTCAAGTCTTTGCTCTCAAAGGTTATCTCCTCAGGGAAACCTTCCTTGACCACCCTATATAAAGTAGCAACCCAACTGCCTCCATGGCTCACCATGCCTGTGCACTCAGTCTTCATTACACGTGGTGCTACCTGATATTCTGTTCTGTATTTATGCATATTCACTCCTCAGTATCCATGGAGGATTGGTTCTAGGACAGCCGCAGATAGCAAAAGCCATAGATGCTCAAGTTCGTTATTATAAAATGGTATGGTATTTGCAGATAACCTACACACACCGTCCCCTAATGCTTTAAATCATCTCTACTTATAATTGCAAATACAATGTAAATGCTATCTAAATAGCTGTCACACTGTATTATTTGTATTATTATTGTACTGTCATTTTAATTGTTGTTTACTTTTTTGAATATTTTTTATCTGTGGTTGGTTGAATCTCGGGATGTGGACCTTTCGGGTAGGGAGGGCTGACTGCTTGTTTTTTATTAGTCCTCTCTCCCTCACACCTACAAGCTCCTAGAATCTCCTCCCCAAGGTGATAGCACCTTCCCCAGCCCATCAACCATTTCTTACTCTAGCTTCACTAATGTCTGCAATTCCCTTGGGCATGAATGACTTTTGAGCCTAACTCTTGGAGGGTCCTTGCGCCTCACAAGGAGAGTAGACTCTGGGGGAGAAGAGATTTCTTTTTGTCTACTTACTGATTGGTACCCTCGCCCAGGGGAGGAATAGCTAAACCCATGCAGGTGTGGGGAATCTTGTTAATGAGAATCCTACCCTCCTCCTGGCCCAGCAGTGCCAGCCACTGAGAAGAGGGGCCCAGCTAAAAATGTCAAGTGAGAACAGTCCCAGAGGCTATTAATGGGAGGTGATGCAATTCTTTCAAGGGCCCTGTTTATAGCTATACACAACAGCACCACCCCTGAGGTGGCAGCTACGGGGCTATCAATCTGTCAGGATGGCCTTCCCTAATCAATGGGCCTTCCTGGTTGCTAAGAGGCCCACCAAACGCTGATGCTGTCATCTCGGCCTGGAAAGACGTAAATTCTGCAGCAGAGATGAAAATACGGCAGCAAAATTGTTCCAGAGGGACTGAGGCATAAACACTTTTGATTAAACTGGGGATGTGAGGGGGAGATGGAACTGTGTCCTGCCTTCTCCTCACCCACCCCTCTCTGCAAACAGAAAGTGCCCACCTTGTGGTCCATCCGTGATGCCAGGGAGCCTTGGGCAATTCCAACCAGGCTCCTAGGAGTGTATTTGGTGTCTTGGAAAAATGTCCGAAAGAGAAGCAAGAAGACAGAAAACTGGTGTAGTCAACTTTTGTTTATGCAGCTGCAATTGCCTTTGAAAAAGTCCAGTGGGGTGTGCTAAGTCGGTACCAACATCCACAGGCAAGGGCAGGAAGCAGCAGCCGCTGCTAAGGCATGAAAAAGGAATCCTGACTTTACAGAGGAGGCTCTCTCCATCCCCATCCCCAACCCCCAACACAGTGATTTGCTCTAGACACTAGGCCTCTGTTAGGAACCGCAAGCAGATTGCACTTCCAACCCCCATCTGTGCCATCATCTAACCAGCCCCTTACTCCAGTGAAAGCCAGGGTACCCTCACCCACTTCTCTCCTGCCCAGGACCCCTCACCCCTGCCTTTCCCTCAAAGGAGTTCTGTAGGTGGCACCCCTCCACCCCTCCCTTTGCTGGCTGTTTTGATGGCTGAAGCCTGGGCTCTGCTGCCTTCACCCCCCTGTTTTCCCAGGAAAGGAGCACATGGGGCTTGTGGGAGGCTTGAGTCTCTGCCTCCTCCTGAGTGGGAGGGGAAGCTGCAGAAAGGCTGTGAGCTTGCAGGCTGTCCCCTTCAGTGAACAAGCCAGTGGAGGCAGAAATGTCCCTTTGCTTGCTTGGTCTGGTCTTGCTTTTCTGGGTTAGGTCTCCACATGGATACACTCA